CATGACTTAGCTTGTCTTTACTGATACTGTCCTTCTACATAGTCCACCCTGACACCACTACAAACAAAATCACATATCCCACTTCATCTGATCGATTTCACAGACACGAACTGAAGCAACTAAATTAGGAGAAAGGTTGTGCTGTGTTGCTTCTTCTCAGTGGAAAGAAAGGCAACTTCAAAGAACAACTTGAATGGCCTGCTGTCTCTCCCTTAATTATTGACTATGAAATTAGCCTTAGGCAACTAGTCTCCAGGTTAAGCCTCAAAAGCCAGGAAAGATGAACGTGGGCCATAAAATAGATAAAGCTACTGCAATATGGGTGCAAAAATGACTGGAAACCATTCCCAGAGGAGTTAGTAAGGGTTGACAGGACTTACTAAACACCAGTCTTCAGAACTCTTCCAGGTCTTAGACTCACTCATTCTTAGAATCTTTACTGCTGAGCTGTTTTGAGAGCATGCTTATTAAATTTTCAGATGACAGAGAGCCAGGAAGGTCTGGAAGTAGAAGGACAGGACTTGTACGCACTCTTGACCAACCAAAAAAATGGGTTGAGGAAATCACAACACACTCAGGTAAAGGCAAGTGCAAATTATCCCACTCAGGAAGGACCAATACACTGAGGGCATGGTGCAAAGTTCTGTAGAAAATATCTGGGATGCAGGGGATGGCAAGCAAAGTAGGAGTCAAGAATGTTGTATTGACACAAAAATTTAAACAAGCCCAACACAGATCCAGGACAAGGCAGAGGGAAGGGACACATCAAATAGGGACATAAGTACATTTCAAATGAGCTGCCAGAGGTCTGGAATTCCTGTGGAAATACGCGGTATTCACTCAGATAATAAGTCTGGGTGAAAAAAAAGACATATCTGGTTATGTGCCAAAGAAATGGCACATGCCAAAAACAATGTCTAAAAATGCAGTTACCGAGGACATAACAAACAAAGTGACTTTCTACTTGTCTACAGAAATAACTCTGCCTTTTATACCACATAACTTCTTCAGGTAAGAAGAAAAGTTAAAATCTCTTGTGCTTGTCTTGGTCATTTACCTGTACAAATAAATATTTTCTGTGTTCTCATGGTGTTTTCAAAGTACAAACATGTTATGCCTTTGAGGATCCTTATTTTCCATTTTGTATGAGAACATGGGAAAAGCATCCTCTTCTGTTCAGACTGTTCAGTTCTGACAGTGTTAGCTGTCTGTGCCCCAGAGAGGCACTCTGTGCCACGCAGTTAGCCCAGCAGAATGTCTTGCTGGAGTGCCTGTGTGATTTCATCCTCTTTTCACAGTAACCAGAAAACTAAACTAACTCTGATTTTGTGATCTTCCATCTCTCCAGTTTCGTGTGAGTGCTGTTCCTTTTGATAAATCTGGCCATCAGTAACGCTTCTTCCTTGCTAACAGCACCCTGAAAATGATAATGATGTGTAAAAGACATTAACTGCAAATGTGAAAAGAAACATCGAAATGTTATTAATACCCCCTAAATTTGAATATTCTAATCAGTCTCTATTAATGGCTGTATCTGCCATGAGAAAGAATTCACAATATGCAGGGCTTACATAGCTGAACTGTGGCACCTCACGATGTCCTATGATGCATTTAAGACATGCAGCACTGTGGTACTCAAAGAACTCCACGGTTCACTAGGAGAACAACTTAATTCAAACAAAAGGCTGTGAATGAACACTTTGGTGTCACTGTAGTTTTATGACAAAAATCAATAAAAACCTCTTGCCTTTTCTACAAGCTCTTAACTTGCGGCAGGTGAAGACAGCAGATGGAACTGGCAGGATATAAGTCACAGAACATGCATTCTTTTTTGTAACAAACATATTTAGGCTGAAAATATGTGACTTACACCGTAATTTTAAGGCTTTGTCTATCCTTCAGAGGCAAGATTGGGGGTTGGAACTAGATGATCTTTAATATCCCTTCCAATTCAAGCCATTCTATGATTCCATAAGAGTCGTCCTTGTAAGCTTATACAAGAAATCAACACTTGGCTAATATTAACTTCTGTATTTATTAAAAAAATAGTAATTTGTGTCCTGAAAGCAGCGCACTTATGGAAACAGCCACTGCCTGGAAAACCTATGCTTACTTCATAATAATGTATTTTCAGTTTCCTTAAAGGTGTTTATGTAATGTTAATTAGAGACCAAAGATAATATGAGGGATAATACTGGTTATGTTATTTAAGGCTATACTGGCTCAGATTGAGAGCTAAAATGACCTTAAAGAACTAGTTTCAACTAATCAGGTGGAAAGTACACAAAGCTGACAGGAACCATAAAACTCATTATCAATAATCTTTACTCATAGTTTGACCTTATAGGATTAAAATATGCACTATTTATATTCAGTGAAAGTAAGAATATGCACCTTTTTCCCCTAAAAGACATGACATATTGTTTATGAATTGAATTTTAGATTGACTAGTGTAAAAATCCATCCTACCTGAGTATAGAAAAATAATTCATTATTAGTAGTAATTTTGAAAAATGAATGAGAGAAGGAAATCCTGATTCCAGTGAAGCTGGTGGTGTTCTATCAGTAACTTAAATGCACTGTAGATTTAATGTTAACAGGCCAAACATGAATAAACTGTCAAAGAATGCAGAAGAAAACCTGATGTCATAATTACTGGGGAAAAAAAAAGGCTGAGTATGTGATTTGACTTTGAATTACTTTGTGCTTATTATATCTCGAATTATTGCATGTGTACATTATAAATACATACTGAGAATGCTTGTGAGATTTTTATTTCAAAAACGGTGAGAAAAACAGCTGAAGAAGCTTTTAAGACATGGCACTCGATCCAGTGTCCTCTCTCATGTATGACCTTGTGACTATCCATGAGACAGTGTGGGATTGCAGCTCTGCAAAAGAACAAGGTGCATTTGTTAACTTCACAGCTCCAGGTGAAATAGCCACCAGTCCACATCTATAAAACTTCTTGCTTCTATAACTAGTTCAAACAGATGAAAATCTTCCATACAAACCACCTATTCTTTCCAAATGGGCTCCTCCAAAGCTGTGTCATTGCCTATAAATAACCATTATCATGTGAAATCTAAACCTTTCTGCCAGTAAGCAAGCACTTAGAAGAATAATGTATTATGCAAAATTAAATCATATGAATCATTTTGCAAAATATGATTTTTAAGTGGGTACAGGCACTTCATATATTATGCAAAGAACAGAAATGTTCCTTTACCTATCATGCTATATTTAGGATTTTTTTTATGATGGAGAAATAAGAGATGAAAGGATGGGGAAAAAAAAGCAGCTGCAGAGAGACACAAAGAGAGGCTTAGTCCTAAAAAGAAAAAAAAACAACGCAAAGTTTATTTCTAAGTGTTCCAGCTAATGTGATGTACATAATATGACGTGACGGTCCAGATCACATAATGAATTATTCCTTCTCTCCCTTAGAGTCCAATTCCTGGAGTTGTGTGGTTTTCCAGGAATCTCATTTTTTACCTTAACAAAAATTACACAGTTTTACCTCTTTGTCTTGCAAAAAACCCCACCCCTCCACACTCTAAAAATGAACAGCAAGGGTTCAAATGCAAATACAAACTCCCCAGTGCATTGCTGTTGATACATAGTGCATTTTAAAACAAAACTGTGTTTGGTGGTTGATTTTCAAGCAGCTGCCCAAGCTGGGCATTCAAGGCCAGGCCATACTGACTGGTGCCCAGCCTCCTGCAGGAGAAGCTGGATCTGGCCCCAGTGAGACCACAGCTCCCTCAGTGTGGCTCCCCCAGCCCTCAGGACATAGCAGGGGAGGGAACTGAGGGCTGATGGACACAGTCACAAAATATCCTGAGTTGGAAGGGATATCATTATATCCTGAGTTGGAAGGGATCATTAGAGTCCAACTCCTGGCCCTGCACAGGACAGCCCCAAGAATCTCACCATGTACCCAAAAGCGTTGTTCAAACCCTTCTTGAACTCAGACAGGCTTGGTGTTCTGACCCAGGTGCTCCCTGGGGAGCCTGTTCCAGTGCTCAACCACCCTCTGGTGAGAAACCTTTTCCCAAATATCCAAAGTAAACCTCCCATGACACAGCCTCACGTCATTCCCTTGAGTATGGCATGTTACAACATGGGGGCACCAAGACAAACACCTACTACCTTCTTTCCAGCCTGGGGCTTCCACGACCCCTTTGTGTCTCGCATGAGCCGTGCCACACCTTGAGTCCTGTGTCTAGTTCTGGGCCCCTCAATTCAGGAACGACATTGAGGTGCTGGAGTGAGTCCAGAGAAGGGCAATGAAGCTGGTGAAGGGTCTGGAGCACAAGTCCTGTGAGGAGCTGCTGAGGGAGTTGGGGTTGTTTAGCCTGAAGGAGGCTCAGGGGAGACCTTGTCACTCTCTACAACTGCCTGAAAGGAGGGTGTAGTGAGCTGGGAGGCGGTGTACAAGTGACAGGACAAGAGGACATGGCCTCAGGCTGTGCCAGGGAAGATTTAGGTTGGA